CGCAAATAGCGAATGTACCTGTAATATCATCTCATATTCTTTTTCATATCTTAATTGCATGTTTCCTGTCTTCCATCTCGGCTTCCATCTTAGTTGCATGACTGAACTTGACTCTCTTGCTCATCCCCTCCTTTTTTTTTGTTTCCCCTTCTTATGGACTGTTAAACCAGCTAGTATATTCTAAGATTGGCCAACTCTGGTCAAGTTTGATTATTCTAGCCATCTTATTGTCAAAGTCATTTCAGTCAACATCAGATCGGTCTTTAAGGCTGAGAACTTATCCAAAAGTGTATCAGTCTTCGGTAATAATTAAATGTGCAAGTTGTTGTATCTAAATTGGGTAATGTTGTGAACTATGTTTCTTAGTTGCACTGCACTATTGTTGACTCTTTTCCTCATGTTCCATGTATACAAGGATTTCCATTTCCGTACATGACTCGTTCAGATTATAAACTTTATCTTCTGCTGATTATTTGTCACTAAGTGGTATTTGGTCAATATTATGATTTTTTTTTGTGAATATAAAGTTGCCATAACATAGTGTTGCTTCCTTTAAAATATCAAAATTGAAGAGGTATATGCTTGACTCTCAATACTTACTGTTGTTTTATTGTATTGAATGTGTTTGCCAGTTTAGATGCAAAGCAACTTGTTGACCTTGTGTATCTATACCTTGATCTAATCAGTATATTAGTCCACCTATATGTCATTTTCAAGTAACTTTTCCTGTATCTAATTTTCATTTTGTAGAACTTGGTTCCTGTATTTCCTGCATTATTTGTGTGATATACTTCAGTATTTAAGTTTTTCTGGTGCAAGCTGATATTAACATTTTGCTGGATAAGGATCAGGTCCTGGCTGTAGGACTTAAAATTGCTTTAAACTAAAATTTATCAAATTGCTGTATATTTTTTTTAGTGAATGAAGTCAGCTGGGGTTGGCTTAGTATCAAACAAAACTTGTTGAGACCATTAGGATTGATCAAATTCCTGCCAGATTTTGATTGGCTGTGGCTTTTTCCAGTTGATGCTAAGAGCATTATGGTGTACAGATATGCCTGATGTAATAACTCTTTTTTTGTAGAGCCAACATGATGAGCTTGAGGCAAAATTTTTTGAGGAGAGGGCTGCACTTGAAGCTAAATACCAGAAGCTTTATGAGCCATTATATACAAAGGTATCCTTTCAGCATCTATTGATTTTGTATGATTTGCTAATTCCAGATATAAGCTCCTAGGACCAATGCTTAAATGCTTTTTCCACCATTGTTCAATCTTGTGGTTCTTTTACGAAGTCTACTGCAAAATGTTGTTAGTCTTGGCCATTCCTGTGACACTTTCTCCATATGGACTAAACAGAGATATGAGATTGTAAATGGTGTAGTCGAAGTTGAAGGTATCAAAGATGAATCTCCAGAGGAAACCGGTTCTGAGGATAAAGCTAGTGAAGGTCTTTTATCTTACCGACGATGTTGAATGTTGTTTTTTCTAGTTCGTTTGTATTTTTTTATGCTTATTGTATACATCTTTGCCACAGAAAAAGGCGTGCCTGGCTTTTGGCTCGCTGCTATGAAAGCAAATGAAGTGCTAACTGAGGAGGTATCCAACTTTTAAATGACTATCCTATTGCTTTGTTTTCTTTATGATGTTGACAGGTACATTATTTTTTGGTTCATCTAGATTCAAGAACGTGATGAAGAAGCTCTTAAGTATCTAAAGGATATAAAGTGGTGCAGAATTGAGGATCCTAAGGGTTTTAAACTTGAGTTTTTCTTCAATCCTAATCCTTTTTTCAAGAATGCTGTTCTGACAAAAACATACCACATGATTGATGAGGATGAACCAATCTTAGAGAAAGCAATTGGGTAAAATTGTTTTTCTACGTTGGTGATATTCACATATCATATCAAGACTGGTTACAAGTGATTTTTAACAAATTGTTGGCTTTCGATGTAGGACGGAGATTGAGTGGTATCCAGGGAAGTGCTTGACTCAGAAGATCCTAAAAAAGAAGCCCAAGAAGGGTTCAAAAAATGCCAAGCCCATTACAAAAACGGAGGACTGTGAGAGCTTTTTTAACTTTTTCAAGCCTCCACAAGTACCTGATGATGATGCAGATATTGATGAAGAGACTGTAAGTTATGATCACCAGAAAAATTTGCCAGAGAAAAAAAGCCAATTGGGTAAAAGCGCATCTAATTTCATTATCATTCTTTTGACAGGCTGAGGAATTGCAGGGTCAGATGGAAGTGGATTATGATATTGGGTAAGGCCTTTCTTTTGTTCGCTTTGTCTGTCTACTGGACCTTTGCCTTGTGATAAATATAGATAAACAGCTTAAGCGAGCATTGTTGATTATTCAAGAAAGCAATGGTTTCAGGGTTATTTAGGAATAACTTGAGCAATATCCATTTGTTCCTTATTTGTTTACGACTTCTTATAATGCTTGGCCTGCATCAGTAATTTTGGATTATCCTTTTTACAAATCTGTTGTCCAGTTATGGCTGGTACCAAATTGATTTACGGTGATTGTTGACTTGCAGGTCCACAATTAAAGACAAGATAATCCCTCATGCAGTTTCATGGTTCACGGGGGAGGCTGTCGAAGGTGATGAACTTGAAATAGAGGATGAAGATGAGGATGATGAAGAAGATGAAGAGGAAGAGGAAGAGGAAGAGGATGATGATGAGGATGATGAGGACGAGGATGAGGATGAAGAAGACCAAACTAAGACCAAGAAGAAGGTATATCTCACAATCTCCTCGAGAAATTGTTTGTTGTCTACAAGTTTTTTACTTTGGGAATAATTGAAACTGACAAGTGTCTTTCTTTTCTCTGTCCTCCAAACAGTCGGCAACAGGGCAGAAGGTGCAACATTGACTTGTCCCATTTTAATATTGATGTTAACCTTCATTAGAAGGTGCTTTAGCTTGATTAATACTCAAATTTATTTATGGTCTGTGGAAATGCAGAAGAGTGGAGGGGAGCAAGCCCAACGACCAGCTGAGTGCAAACAACAGTAACATGTTTACAATGGATGGAGCATTTTCTGGGGTGTAGTAGTGGTGGAGTTGTTGGAATGAATGATCTGGTTTACTTCCTGCCATTTTTTTTATCTTTCTTAAAGTGAGAAGCTGCGTGGAGTCCTCGGAATGGTCAGTTCTTATACCCTGATGTCTTTGAGAATCAGGGTGGCGGAATGAAGTTTTGTGTTCTTTATTGTATGGTATTGTCCCAACATGACATATTGTTTCTGTAGTTCGATGTCTATGGACCAGAGGGGTGTGTATGCTTGCATTTTTTGATGAGGAAAATTATGTTTTGTCTAAGCCTAGATGTGGTAATATTGCTATTTTCTTGAAGCAGATAATTGATCATGTCTGTGCAATTAGATGATTTGGCAATGTCTCGGATTTTGGTCGGATTAATAATTTCATTATGTTCTGATATGTTTTGATGATGCAGTTTCTGAAAATTAAAATTCGAACTTTCTCGGTCAAAAGTGATCAGATTTGGTTAGATTAGATCGAATGGGGTCGGATTTGATGATACAGTGGTAATATGGTCATTGTCACCTCTAGTCATAATGTAATCGGAGAGGAAGTAAACATTGGTTAGTGGATATATGTGTTAACATTATTTGATATCCACGCTTTGAGTATGGTGCGTTCCGCTATTGGGCCTCACCAGCCGCCGCACAAGGCTCCGAGACCTGCTTATACGGGTTCAATATAAAATCGTCACCTCTAATCATACGGTAATAGGAGAGAAAGTAAACATCGATTAGACATATCGGTCAACATTATTTGACATTTGTGATTTAAGTTCATAATTAGACTTTTTTTAATATCTCAATCTCTAAACTTAAAAGAAATCCCTATGATTATGAAAATAAAATAATTAATCATATTTATCCCAACATTGGTTTTGTCGATGGAAGATGCGACAACATATTCAGAAATGACATAAAAACGATAGGCAAATATATAATTTCAATGTTTCAGTTACATTTTCTTTTTAGTACTAGTGGTGGACTACGATATCGTTGGGTCACGAGTGGCTATTATGGTTATGATCAACCAAAACAATATAGTGGTTGGTGAGAATATGAGAATAATATGGGGATATCTTTAGAAATGGGTTGGGTGGAGTCTTCGAGGTGGCGTTAGGGATTTCTATGGTTTATTGCTAGGGGAGGAAGAGGAGAAAGAGCGATAGCATAAGTAAGGCAAATGGAGAGGAGGAAAAGAATAATATAAATGCTGACACTTTACATTTGCGTCAGCGCCGCTCAACATCTTCGTCAGTGTTAACGTAGATGTAGAGTGACAAAAGAGCCGCTCGACATCTACATTGACGGCAACACAAATGAAGATGCAAAGCATCGATATTTGTCTCATCCTTTTCTTCAACTCTCTCATGTCTCACCTCTCGTTGTTGCTCTCTCTCCTCTTTCTCTTTCTTCCCTCCTTCCTCGATCTCACATCTTTCATTCTCTTTCATGCGTTTTGCATTTGTGTCGGTGTTGACATATATGGCAAGCGACACTGATGTAAATGAAGCACATTGACATTTGCATTTCTTTCGCCTCCTCTCCCTTTGTCTAATCTTTTGTTGTCGATCTTTCTTATCTTCCTCCTCATCCTCTCCCTCCTTCCCGTAAGAAACTATAGAAGTCCCTCAACTCCAGGATTCCACTCATCATTATTCTCGTCGATAACAACTACAATAGCCACTTATGACTCTAGCAGTGCCACTATCCACTATCACCATTAAGAATAAAAAAAATATAACTGAGATATTAAAATTATTTTTTATCTATTATTTTCATATATGCTGTCACGTGCTGTATGATAAAATCGATAACGCTATGATAAACGAGATTAAATTTTTTATTTTTTATAATTGTAGCTATTTTAATATAATTTTTTTAATTAGAAACCGAGACGGTTAAAGGTCTAAATAACCCTTCCACTGTTGGGCCACAGCAGCAGGGGCACAGAGCCCGAAGGCCTGCTGCTGCCGCTGCGGAAACTAAAACATAAGAAACCGGAGGAGACGGAGGGGCAGCGGCGGCCACATCGAGCGACCCAGAGAGCAGAGACGTTGCAGGATGGAAGCGTTGCGGTGGCTGCTGTCGGTGGCAAAGAAGAAAGAGAACGTGGTGACCGGCCTGCTGCTCGGCACCTTTGTGACCTTGGCCGTCCGATCCTCCGTGCAAGAGCGGGAGATCGATGCCCTCGAGGCCGAAAAGTCTTCCCTCCGCGCCGACATCTCCTCCCTGTACTCCTCCATGTGGTCCTGTCGCCAGGACCTCTTCGCCCTCGCCGCCGCCGCCGACCCGACCTCCTCCCCAAAGCAACCATTCATCCCCCTTTCCCGACTCCGCGCCATCTACGGCGAGGAGGAACCGCCCTCCAACTCTGCTGTCCTTCCGTCGGCGGTGGATCCTCAAGGTACCCGATGCTCATCTCGCCCGTTTCTTTTTTCTCTTTCCCAAGGGTTTTACATATGTTGACGCTTTTCAATTTGATTTGTTTCCCACTTCTGAGTTACGAATCGTAGGATTAGATGTTCTATCATATATTTGATCCATCACACTGAAGATGATCCCTTGATCACGATTATAATGTTGTCCCCATTTATCTAAATTTCTCGTTATATGAAACATGTTTAGATAAATAGGCCATCCAAGCCATGACATGCTATAGTCCTCTTGCCAATTAATCCACATAAAAAATCCATTTTAGTCAATTCTGTGAAGAATTCTTGGTTGATAACCTCATGGAGACCTTGATATTTCTGGTCAACATCAATATCTTCAACTTCGAAGCATGCATATCATTTGCTTAATAATGATATTTAATATAACAATGCTTAACTTTGGAATTGACAAAGTTTGTGCGGTCACCTCGGCACTTAATTCTTGGAAGTCGACCATCATATAGAGTGTACATGACCTGGCCATCATTTGAAGAGAGATTTCACTTCTGATGTAGAAACAAAATGGCACGTTTAGGTCATTTTCAAGTTCATATGAGTGACAGCCTGTTGATCTTGGAGTGTGAAGTGTGTTTTAGACGGCATTAATACTTTGGTGAAGATACAACGGAATTCTTGCGCTAAGTACCAAATAACCTATGTTGTTGTTTTTCTGGTAAAAGTTGCATTAATGTATCAACTTATATTGCAGTAGCAACCTTGTAAAGTATGTTGATGCCTTGTGAAAAACATGAGTCTGATGATACTCTTTTTTGTTTAGGGAGTGAAGTTGTGTGTGATGTTTCTTTTTGTTTCCCCCTTTTGGTCTTGATAAAGAATTCCACTTCATTTCAACTTGCAATGGATGCATCATATGGCAGGTGGGTACTTGAATTGGATGTCTTCTAATCCAAGTCAGTGCAATAGTAGTATAAGAATGTTCATTGAAAGATCTTTCCTTGTCAAAATAACGGATATGATGGTGGGCTAGCTTTAACAGCATGGTCTGTTTTATGAAAATACTTCTTTTGAGGAAGCATGGAACTAGACCTTAACAATAACAGTGCATCATGCAAATCATTGACTTACAGTTTTCATCCATCTGTATGGGTTACAGGTGTAGGGGTGGATGCAGGAAAAGAATCGATATCTATTGCTTAGTTGTGTTTATGGTTTCGAGGAGATGGCAAAGTTTTCCTTGTTAGACAGATCCGAAGAGATAAAACTGAGAGACAGATTACACATGGAGAAAAGCTGGGGAGATATGTTCTGAAAAATCCTTGTAGAACCAACTTGAAAAATCAGTTGTTAATAATGGCTGGTAGCCTCTCTAACTCCCAGGCGTTTATGATATCTGGTCAAATATATCTTTGTCTTCTGTTCTGCTGTAGAAACATTTATGTCCTTGCTTTGGGCTAGTTTTGTTGTTGCATATCTTACTGCTTCAAGCTGTGAGGACCTCCATTTCCTTAATGAATTAGAAGTGTATTAATTTCTTTTGCATATAACAATATTTGCAATAACATTCTTCAAAACCAAGTTGGGTGCTTTTTCAGTAATTTTGAATCTATTTTACTAGTGCTGTCCTAAATGAACAATGCATATGATTTCTTTTGTAAATTTTTTTGCTGAAAATTTAAAGTTTGACCATTCCTGGCTAAACCTACCTGCATTTATATTGTAAGAGTCGAAATAAAGTGTTGTGTTTTCTTTTGAAAAATTCATTTGAATGGATCTAATGACATGACTGCAAATGCTTAAGGTTAACTAATTGTACTAAGCAACTAGGTTCATAAATATAAGCCATCCTCATTATTTTTTGATGTGAAGTGTCTCAGTTTTAGAACAAATGTTTATCAATTAGGGAATCTGAGTTTTAGAATCAAAGTCTGCTTCTATGTCAATATTTAGGCTGCAAGATGACTTTGTGGCATCAAAGTTGTTAGTCCATAGAACATGCCAAATTTAGACTTCTTCTAAGAGGATTAATTACAGATTATCCCATGCGGTTAGACCTCTTTAGTATTTCGGTTCCTAAGCTTTAAAAATTTACATTGAAATCTCTATAATTATAAAAGTGAAACATCTAGTTTCATTTATTTTAACACTGTTAATTTTATTGACGAAAGCATGAAAACAATAGGTAAAAAGGTAATTTCAACCTTCTTACATTTTTGGTGGTGGCGGATTGTGGCGTCGCTAAGGGCTGCAGATGACTGTTGTGGATGAGGAGGGAGAGCGACGATGAGAGGTAAGATAAATGAAGAGGGGAAAAATGACGATGTAGATGTCGACACTTTGGGTGTCGCTTGACAACTGCATTGGTGCCTTCGTAGATGTAGAGCAACGAAAGGGCCGCCTCAACATCTACATTAGCCTCGCTTGGTAATTGTGTTAGCGTCGCTTTGCATCTGTGTCGGTGCTGATGCAGATGCTAAGCGTTGATGCAAATGTTGAGCGACACTCTACATCTGTGTCGGCGTTAATGTAGATGTCGAGCGGCTCTTTCGTTAGTCTGTATTTGCGTTGGCATCGATGGAATTACTGAGCGGCGTTAACATAGATGAAGAGTATCAACATACGTGTTGTTCTCTTCCTCCTCTCCCTTTGTCTCATTTTTTGTTGTTGCTCATCCACAATAGCCACCCACGACCCTTCAACGGCGTCGTCGTCCGCCACAATTGGAAACATAACTGGATGTTGAAATTATCTTTTTGCTTATCGTTTTCGTGCTTTCGATGAAAAAATTGATGATGCTACAGTAAATGGAGTTAGATGATTTACTTTCGTAACTATAACTACATGGATTCTATTATAAATTTTAAATTTTTTAAGTTTAAAGAGTAAATGCTAAAGAGGTGACAAGCAATCTTAAAGCCAAAAAGAATGCTGAGATTTTATTAGTTTCTTATGGTAATCCATTTGAGAATTTTCTCCTATTTAGCTTCTTAGAGGTCAACCAGCACTAGGAAAATGAAATTAAAGTTGGTTATGGAGAATCTAGAGACAAATGAGGGTTAATGAAATTATCAGCATGTCTTACAAAATTATATGCAGCTTGATATGAGATTTGCAGGATTATGAACATTTGATTCAGCTGTCTTAAACCATGCCATTGTGCATACTTTTGAGATAATTGAGACCAAAAGTTGTTTAGATTGATTCTTCCAAGGCCTCTTTTTTTCCTTGCCTATCCCTTTTATTATTATTGCATTTACTTTTTATATGCGTAGCTGCAACTATTTGCATGTTAATTAAGACATCATACTTCAAAATTGTATTTGGCCAAATTAGTTGCTGGTGATTTTGAAGATTTTGCTTGTAGATTGTGACGACCCTTCTACAATAACTCAAATAAGTACTTGTTGGAGTTGTCTGGTTAAATCTAACAACAACAACAAGAATAAAAAGCTATAAATTCTAATTATTTTGGATTGATTATATGGATCTTTTATTATCATTAAGATATATAAATTTTAAATTTTAAATTTATAATTTTTATTAATATTTTAAATTTTTTCATTTTTTTATCATGAATATTAATCATGTTATATTTTTCTCTTAAATAGATGTTCGTACTATTTTAAATAATTTTTTTTCTTATTTTATCTTTTATTAAAACGATGCTTAATTATTTATAAATAAACATATTTTTTTTTATCTTTTTAATTATATATTTATTTTAATATTTTCATCTCGATAATATAAATTGTATTCTTATCACGGCATTATATATAGCTGTCTGGCTTAAATCTGAATCCAATTAATTATTCAGGTATTTGAATTTGGCTTGAATATCTACTGAAAGCTTTCAAATCTAAATAAAAAAAAAATTGAATGGAATTTAAATTGATTATATCCATATATGAGAACTTCACTCCATCCACTTTGGCTTGAATATGATTGATCAATATATGATAAATAATGGATAAAATATTCATAAGTTTCACTCAATCCAAACCCAACAAACTACTTGAGTACTAAAAATTCAACTTGAATTCGAAATCGATTTACCGCGTTGAAGTGGGTCGGATATCAAAAGAATCCGACCCGCAATGTGGTCCGAACTCAGACAAGTGAACGCAGCATCCGCCGAGAGATCGTTATGCCTCTACCCGTTGAAGCGCGCGTCCGATGGCAGCGAGCGGCTCGCCTGTATCAGCACTGGCCACATCTCTTCGCTGTCTCGCCTTCGAGTTACTTCGCGTCTTTGCTGCGCCCAGCCTTCGTATACAAATATTCTCCGGTTTGACGACTAGAAACATCCTCCTCTTCCCCCCCTCCCTCTCGTCTCTCTCTCTCTCACAGATCTCGCCGTTTTGGTTCGTCCGGTCGTTTACTCCCGCATCAGCCATGGCAGCCTCCTCCTCCTCTCCAGAAGCCGCCCCGACGGGACCCGCGGATGCCATCAGCAGGGATCGGATCCTCTCCAGCAATCTCTACTTCGACGTTCCGCCCTCCAAGGTCGCCGTCCTTCGCTCCCTCTCTTCTCTTCGCTACTCTTCTATCTTTCATCTCCGATTTATGTGACGAGAACTGGAACGGATCTTAGGTGCCTGTGATCTACTCGTCATCCTACGACATCGCGTTTTTTGGAATCGAGAAACTGTAAGCAAGTCCTGATTTTCTTGTTCTTTTAGTTATTTGATGTTTTCTTGTTTGTTCCATCTTTTTCTGCGATCGCATTTCTGTGTCATGTTAATTAGGGTTTGATCTTTATTGGGAGTAAGGGGTATCACCAATTTACGGGAATTGAGGTTTCAAGAGGCTATCAACTTCAGCCGTCAGGTTCCAAGTTACGTCTGTCGGGTGCATAATATAAATCTTCAGCTCCATACCCAACCTAGGAGTGTAAGGTGGAAATAAGATAGACAAACGAAGAGTATTTTGTGTAGAAATTCAATTTTGCAATAGTTTCGAATGGGAAGATAAAGCACTCAGGAAAATTTCTATCACTTTGGGAGTTCTATATGGAACATCAAAATTCCACGAATTTCTACCTATCATTATGATATTATAATCAGATTGATTGTATACGAAGAGAGAGAGGATTTATAGGCATGTGGAAACTTTGGTTATTGCAGGTTGAAGAAAGTGATATCTATAGAATTTTGTAAATCTATATTTAAATATTCACACTGGGTTAAAGAACAATGAACACCATACATATTCATGGCCATGATCATTAATGTGCTAAAGAAGTCTGAAAATTGAAGGAGATAGAAAAGGTTATTCTACTCTGCTTAATAGTTACATTGATGGCACATCTTGAAGGCCTGTTGTCGCATCTCACTTAAAGAATGGGGAAATGATGCTTTAGTTCTTGACTGGGAACAACTTATTCTACTACAAGATTGTCATGTGGGTCTTTAACTTGTGAGTGGAACAAAATGAACCCTCTTGTCCTCCATGGAGAGGTTCTTATTCTCCAAGAAAAAAAGAAAAAAAATTGTAGATGGCATTTTTGAATCATCATCAACTTAATTTATGTCATGCAGGCATCCATTTGATTCATCCAAGTGGGGCCGTATTTGCCAATTCTTAATTAAGGAAGGTTTCTTAGACAAGAAACAAACGGTAGAACCACTAGAAGCTTCAAAAGATGACTTACTGGTGGTAAGAAGTGCTGCTGTGCATGAGATATAAATTTAGTTGTGCCATCATTTAGTACCTGACATAACATGTTTTCCAATCAGGTGCATTCAGAATCATACTTGAGCAGTCTCAAGAGCAGCTTAAATGTTGCCATTATTATTGAGGTAATGTTTCTTCATCCTCTTTAAATACACATACATATGCATATACACACGTGCGCATGCACACACGAACACACACAGACACACACACTTATATTTCAGGCATAAATAATTTAAACTCTGTACAAGATAATGTGAACACGAATATTTTTTATTGGGAGCCATAGAACCCGAACTTTGAGTAACAAGACTAGGTAGTTTCATGATTTAGGATGTTTTTCAAATCATACTATAAATCATTATTTTGTATTCACTTTATTGCATGCATGGTGCATTCCACTTTGCATAAAGTACATACTTTGTGGATCTTTATCGACTCTCGTAACAAGCCTTATATGGACAGGAATTGGATGTTGAAAAGTACTTAAATGGATATTTTGAGTGGATGTAACATCTTAATAGTTTCTCACAAGGTTTTAAATGACTTATCGGACCATTATGGTGTATCCTGGATAACCAACCTGTATCATCCAGTATCATTGAAAATATAAGAAACTGAATAATTATTGGTAACGAGCTATCTAGTCAAGTATCAGTCCTTGGTCAGACCAGTGGATACCAGTCGGTATGTTAGTTGAAATTGTTACTAATGTGAATCTATCAGTGGCTATTTCATAAAATTTTTGTTTAGAACATATTGAAGCATGAAGTGTTTTTATCTTTAACTATTTTAGTTGCATGGTTCTTGTACCATTATTTTGTTTATCTCTTTTGAGAATATTGTTTCGATTGATCTTGTTGTGCAACCTATATTATGTGATTATGTAACAACCTATGCTGTTCATATTTCTTCAAAAATACTTAAGCAAGCACCACCCAAAATATTCGAGAGCATCCTATCAGATATCTTTCTTCCTTTCTCTGACAATATCTTTTTAGAAGACGATTTTTCATAAACACATGCTAGGGGTTTGATCAATCTCTATATTCTAATTATTTTGTCATCCTAGGTCCCTCCTGTTTCTTTGCTTCCCAATTGCCTTGTACAGAATAAAGTGCTTTACCCATTTCGCAAGCAGGTTAGTGCTCACTTGTTCACTGCATCAACATGCAAAAGGGGAGAGGTTTTCATCTTCAAATTTTCAGGTGGGAGGTTCCATACTGGCAGCCAAACTTGCAAAAGAACGAGGGTGGGCCATCAATATTGGTGGTGGTTTCCATCATTGTTCAGCAGAAAAAGGAGGTGGATTTTGCGCGTATGCTGACATTTCACTTTGTATTCAGTTTGCTTTTGTTCTTTTGAATATTTCAAGGTAGGGAACTTGCTTCTCAGACTGTTAATATAGTCCCTCTTGCAAATACCTACTTCTGCAAAGAACTAAAAGGTGAATATTTTAAAATTTTTTGAACCTATGCAGAGTAATGATAATTGATCTTGATGCTCACCAAGGGAACGGCCATGAAATAGACTTCTCTAATGACAGTTTGCCGTCTCATCCATTGTGCATGCTTTTCACTGACAATTTTTGTTGTTTCCTTCCATAAGTAATGCTAACTTTCTCTCTGCTTACAGGAAGGGTTTATATTCTGGACATGTACAATGCTGGAATATATCCATTTGTGAGTTTTACTGTTTACAATACACATATCAAGTTTTTAGCATGTTGCAATTTCTTCTTTATTGTATTTTAACTGCATGATCAACTATTATCCTTGGATTTGGGGACAAGTACACATCTTACACATGTTGATCAGTTGGCCTACATGTGGTTTTTAGCCAGTGGTCTGGTTCTCATGCAACATACATTTGTAGGTCTGCATTTGTTCAGCTTTCCAATTTGAAGATTTCCATGGATATAAAGACTTGGGAGTCTATGAAATCTATCGAGGGATTCTTTTTGTTTCTTTCATTTAAATCTTATTTTTTCCCTCTAATTTTACCAGCATGTCATATTCTGGTGGCATCTCCCTGCCTACCACCACCACACACTCATGAAAAACAGAAAAATAAGTCATGGAACAGCCTAATGATTACCATGGTATTTTTAATTGGCTAATTTTCTTGGCAATTACGTAGTGCCTGTTACCTACTATGTCTATTACCTATAATGTCTTTATTAGAAACATGTTAGGGCTTCTGCCCACATCTTCCATTTATAGCCATCTGGTTCATTGACAGGACTTTGAGGCTAAGAGATACATTGATCAGAAAGTTGAGTTAGCAGTAAGTTATGAAGTTTTTCTTGGATGCGTTCCATAGTCACTACAAACTGTCATTTTGCTTCTCAGTATTCCTGAATATATTTGTCCTTTTGTTTGTATGTAGAGTGGGACCAAAACAAAGGAATATCTGGATAAGTTGGATGAAGCGCTCAAGGTAAAACCTACAACTGTCTTTCTTCCCATCATTTTTATTAAATGTGTCCTTCACTATCTGCTGTTGTTCCTAAAGGAATCACAAGCATGTATTACATGTGTATACAACTGCATCTCATGATGCATGTCACTCTGTTCTTACCATCTTGAATCTAGTCTGTCTATACCGGGTACTTCCCTTTAATTGGTCATTCTTTATGGATTCATGTAAGAAGAGACCTTGTGGATGACTATTCTTCCCAATAGTGGATTGGTAAACATAAAAAACAAAGTGTAGGTGGACTTGTTTTTCTATTATTTTCTGTAAGTCTTTTTGTATATTTGTCATCAATATCATGGTGTTTCTTTGTTAATTGCTCAAATCTTTCATATCTATATATTAATTGATCCCTATAAACCTCGAAGCAAGTATATATTTGTCCTACCTATTTAGTTATGATAGGTCAGAAACTTTCTTCATAAGTAAAATTATTTTTCCTAGTTCCAATTTATTTTTTCTCTTGCTAGTTTTTAAATTTTGACCATCCATCTTCTAGAACAATAACCTTCCATTCAAAGTGTGACCTTTGGCTTCCTTGGACATAAATTTGTTCACAAGCTCATTGTGTAAATGGAATGACAAAAGAGTAAAGGTAGATTAATTGCATGAAGTGTTAATTGATCAAAAATTTGCTGGTCAACTTGAGTGATATGGTGGTATATGCCTCTTCTGCATGCATAGTTATTGATTTATGCTGACAGAGTACAGGAGTCTTTTGGTATTGTTCTTTTGCACAAATCTATTGAGATGGCTGTTAGGGCATGGCATGGTATCTTACTAGCAGCTACAACTGTAATGTTTCATAAATGGTAAACCAATCCTGGGATCAATATGGTCATATAAAAGAGCCTAAGATATTTAACTTTAAAGAAGGCATGAAAAATTTTGGATGGGAATTAGGAACTTGCTTGTGAGATCTTCACAAAGCTTCTGTGTAAGGAGATGCATCTATTCATTCAAGACATGGTGAAACTGGTTTCATAAACCAAGATGGATGAACTATTTAAATGTTAATTTCACTTTTGTTGCTAACCATTGATTGTATCATCAACTTTTTCTAAAATCATTGCAATTGATGTTCATGGCCGGTTGCTGTCAGGAACTATTCGAGCAAAATTTTGATACTAAGTATAGTCAGTTTGGGGTGAATGTTTATATGGCCAAAATATTTAATGTGAAGTGACTGAAATATATCAGTTGTCAAATCATGTGGCACAAGTTGATTGTCTATGCTAGTTTGTATAATGGCTGACTAGCTTCACACATTGGACATTTTTGTCACTTGCACCACAATCTGATTGTTCCTACATGTCAGATGCCATGAAATATTCTGTATCTCAATTGAGGATAGGACTTTGATTGCAACAACTTAGGTTGAGGATGTCATTGTCACAAATTTAAGTTGATGGACTAAATTATATTCATCAATCGTAACAATGTAGCATTGGCACAAATTTAAGTTGGACTAAATGAATTTATCTTAAATTTTAAGAAACATTTAAGATTACACTGATGGGACATTACTTCATGGTTATATGGCATGTAACAAATGCTACTCATGCAGCGTTTTTTTCAAGTAACCATATTGATACTATCAATGTCAGACTGCCAGAATCATTAATTTAAACTGCTGTAGCTGCATAGTATCAAAATGCTACTTATTTTAAAGTATGTTGACATTCTTCTTCCAACATTAGTTAAGCAAAACAAATTCTGGAATCTCATGTTTCATTTCAGGTTTATTAAACATAATATTCATGTAGGTTGCAAGAAATAACTTCAATCCTGAGTTGGTGGTATATAATGCTGGCACTGATATCCTAGACGGAGATCCTTTGGGCAGATTGAAGGTACCATATGGTCTGTCTATTTGTGTGATGATGTGGTACAGACGAAACTTGCAGAATTCCTTTTTAGTTATCTTTTTATTCAGAACATGTAAATCTTGATCCAAGTTTGGTGAAGGATATGCTTTAGAGATGCTGCTGAGTTGTCATTTTTGGGGAAGTTTACTGTTCAAGAGGATAGAGGAGGATTAAAAAGCAATTTTTGAGAGTGTTGTGCTTTAGAAAATAGAAAGAGGAACCAAAAAATTGTAAATACAACAAAAGAAGGGAGGAGGAAAGAAGGGGCTAATTTCATATTATCCCTTGTAGTTAGACCTCTTTAGCATCCCGGTTTCGAGATTTAAAAAATTTACATTGGAATCTCTACAGTTATGAAAGTGAAACATTTAACCTCATTTACCTTAACGTCATCGGTTTTATCGATGAAAGATACAACACGTGATAGCACGTGCAGGAATTGTACAAAAATGATAGACAAAAAGATAATTTTAACGTCCCAATTATGTTTTCTTTTGTTATACCCTGATTAAAACTTAGTCGATTGTTGTGGTGGTGGCGGACAGTGGCGTCGTTGTGCTGCTGGTGGTGCAGCCCGCTCTCGGTGACAGTAGGGGCTGAGCCTCGAGGTCCTCGAGACGTTTCATACGCTGGTGTACTCTAGGGTTAAGGGGCTAAAGGTGGGAAAGGGGGCCCTTGAGTGTGCAATGTGCCTCAGCGAGTTTGAGGTCAATGAGGAGCTTTGCCTCTCCCCTCGTTGCAGCCACGTCTTCCACTTAGATTGTATTGATGCCTGGCTCGCCTCCCATGTAACTTGCCCCGTCTATCGCATCAACCTCACCGAGCAAGCTGTTGATGACAACCTCAACTTGCTAACCGTAGCCACCCGTGCGATGAGCCTTCAGCTTGAAATCGTTGCCCCGCCATAGGATCATGTCGCCATCATCGTGGGCCCACAGCGGTGGCGGCAAACAAGGAGTGGAAGGAGGCAACCACGGAATTGGCATGGATTGGAAGCCGAAGGTGGGCAACTCGATCACGATTTGAGCGGCGTCTGGCAAAGCTCCCATGGTCTCATTCATTTGCACATTCCGAGGTCCGGGTGGTGCGCAGATGTCTCACCTCCCATCGACGTAGATGCAGAGTGGTGCCGGCAGAGGAAGAGGAGGGAGAGCGACAAGTAGAGGGTGTACCGGTCGACATCCTCCACTGGTCGGACCTTGGAATGTCTGGTTGAATGAGACCACGGGAGCTTCGTCGATCATTGCCCGGATTGCGACTGGGCCGCTCGCCTTTGGCTTCCAATCTGCGCCAATTCTGTAGCTGCCTCCTTCCACTCCTCTTCCACCGCTACCATTGTGGGTCCACGACGATGGCAACATGATCTTGTGGTAGGGTAGCGGTTTTGGGTTGAAGACTCGCCACGTCTATAATAGGAGTGCCTACAGGTAGCTAATTGAGGTTATTGTCGACAGCTTGTTCGGCGAGGTTGGCGTAGTAGACGAGGCAAGTTACGTGGGAGGCGAGCCAAGTGCCAATGCAATCCAAGTGGAAGACGTGGCTACAACGAGGGAGGAAGCGGAGCTTCTCATCGTCCTCGAACTTGGGGCTCGGTCCCTGCTGCCGCCGAGAGCGAGCTGCCCTGTCCGTGGCGCAGTGGCCCCATCGTCCGTCACCACCATAATAATCGATTAAGAAGTTTTAATTAGGGTATAACAAAAGAAAACGTAATTGAGATGTTAAAACTATCTTTTTGCCTATCGTTTTTGTGTCATTCCTTCACGTGTTGTATCTTCCGTTGGTAAAACCGACATTAGGGTAATGAGTTTAAATGTTTTACTTTCATAACTATAGGATTCCAACATAAATTTTTCATGTTTAGAAACCAGGATACTAAAGAGGTCTAATTACACGGGATAATCTATAATTAGCCCAGAAAGGAGGGAGTCATGGACAATGGAAAATGTTTCTGAAGCAGATATTGTTATGCACTTATGCAGATCAGTCCTGATGGAGTGATGACTAGAGATGAGAAGGTTTTCAGATTTGCTAGAGAAAAAAATATACCACTTCTGATGCTTACTTCAGGTGATTTGGATACAGTTTCTTGTACTTTGTTCTGTTCAATGACAAATATGATAATTTATCCTTATATTAACTCAATGTTGTTTCAGGTGGCTATATGAAGTCTAGTGCTCGAGTAATAGCAGATTCAATTATAAATCTTTCCAAGAAAAACTTGATAGCATTGGACAGTCCTCTGGGTAGAAAGTAAATCTTGATGTTTACCCAAGATGTACATGATGAAAGCTATGTTACAATGATCAAACACGTAGATTAAAAACATGTATTTTGTATATATATTTTAATGTTAATATATGTACATCCTGTATGCTAATTAGGTGAATTTGATGATTATATGTATTGTAAATTTGTAGGTCTATCATCCTGCTTTAATTGATATGATTCTGATGCTATGACGTTTGTTCAGATTAAAAATGTAGAATTACCAGGCCCATTCTTCATCTTGAATGTTATTGTTGAAAATAGTCTTTTGATCCATTCTTATTTCTTCTCAGCGAATAAACCATGAGCCCTTGTGCTGTATGAGATGATCATGTGATACTGGTTGGAAAACTTAAATGTACTCTATGATGAAGATTGTTTCTGATTTGTGTTCATATACTGTTGGAAAACTTGTTGCTTTTCTTTTCTGCTGCTTAATTTGATTTGTATCTTTATTCAGTCTCTCATCTGATGATCTGGTCTTTTCGCATTTATGCCTAACTTTTGCTAGTCCTAAAATATGATTATCCGGTATATATTTTTGATCTGACATCTTGTTATGAACTTTAATGTGGGTCATTCCAATGGTAAATGACTGAAGAGAAAACTTATCAGTTCTATGTGCCTGTGACGTTGATGCATTGTAATATTTGAATATATTGCTAATCCTTGTTAGAGTTGACTTTGAACCATTGTGGTCTATCATTCACTTTGATAAAGTTGACTCGTTCAAGTTTTTAGAACGTAGATTTTTTTCTCAATATATTAACTTCTGGTCATATAATACCGAGGCTGGAGAACAGACACTCACATCTACCCTTGCAAAGTTTGCAAATAGACTATTTGGCTTTATAATCCTAATATATATTTTTTAGATTTTTAAAATACTAAGTTAATAATCACTAGTCATGTTTATAAATTGCTAGTTGGAATTTAAAAATTATTTACGTAGAAAATTCTGTGTTTAGAGTTATGCATGGAAAAGAAAAAATATATACATGGGTTTTGTAGGGATCTAAATATATACATGCTAAATTTAAATTTAGATGAATAAATGTAAATTTCGTTGTCGACGAAGGAAATATAATAGTCTTCGATATAAGTTCCTTTCTTGCATTTGAGCTTGAACTGCATTTTTTTTTGTAGGAGTGGTCACATCAATGGTACCAAACTCTGAATTGTATATTCAATGCAGAAGCACCTCTTATATGATCTCAATCTTTTTTTTCAATAATAATAATAATAATAATATCAGCAGGTTTTTATTATCTTTCCTGACCAATCAATCGTATCCAAAAGGCGACTGATGTAAGGTGGAAGGCTAATTTTGACTGTACGTGTCTTACACGGTGGACAAGGAAGGTGCTCCAGAAATCAACGGTGCACCGGAAGCATTGTCGCGAGACGGACGAAGATACTCATCTGTTAGGTAATTAATATGTGGTGCTTAAACGAAGTGAAATAAATGATGAACTTGCCATTCGTTTCCGTCACAACGTCGTGTTCTACCACCTACACCTCTTCTCTAATCCATCAGCCGTAGGAGCCCAGACGGCTTCCGACATCTCCCGCACCAAAGAGCGGGTCTGGTCCGGCCTCGCCACGCGGCGGCCATGGCGGGAGCTTGCCGACGTGCGCGCCATCCGCCTCCCTCCCATCCTCGGCGTGGCCTACCTCCGGATCCGCAGCAACGCCGCCTACTTTGACATGAACTACGTCATTGTCGTTCATCCCGTCGTCTTCCTTAGCCCCCTCTGGCACCCCACCTCCCTCATGGTCTTCCTCTACTTCGTTCGTAACGAGCCGCTTGTCGCTCTCGTCCGCACCTGCGTCAACGACCGGACCATCCTGATTGCGCTCTCCATGGTGACCCTAGTGCTGCTCCTGCGCACCAAGGCCACGTCCGACGTGCTCATCTCCCGGCTGGTCGGCCTGCGGATGGTGCTCATCCACGCCGCGCTGCTGCGGACTGAGGATCTGGTGCTGAAGGAGGAGGCCGCCGGGTCCGAGACGTGGTACGCTGCCGTTCCTCAGTATCTTCATCTCCTTGGCCGTGTGTGTTTAGTAACTTCATCTCCTACCTCTGCCTGCTTTCTGTTGTCGTGCGTCAACATCGATGTGCACACCATTAGTGAAGGAGTAAAATCGATCATTAACACTGGCAAAGCAGACGACTTTATTTTCCCAGCCATCTCACTCGGTCGAATCTTAAAAGGACACTTGTCACCATATAAACATTTTAGTCCTTCAATTTATCTTTATCATGTTGAGTTATCGATTTAATATATCTACAAGTTTTACTTATTAATATTTCTTTTAATATTACTAAAATTTACATCTCATCTAATCTAATTTAAAATGTTTAATATCTAAGCTTATCTTCGTAATTAAGTTTAAACTCTGCCTCAAGATCTCAACCAATTAGCGCCGCCTTCACCGACGCGGCCAACCCAAATAGACCGGCGATCGCAGAGTAAGAAAAGAGACCACAAATCAAGACGCCAGTGTTTCTAGTTACCCACAAGGTGTGTGTGTGTGGGTCCCGTAGTGTGCGAAACCCGGCCTCTATTATAGCAAGGGTGAAACTTTGGGTTTCTTTCGAAGCATCCACGTCGTTGGAATTCAAGTTAATTTAATTCGAGGAAGAAAAATAAAATTACGGTTTACTTCTCGTCGATATTTGGGCGTATTTATTTCCCTTCCTCGCTTCGGTCGCCTCTAGAATATCTCGAGGCCTGTCTCGCTCTCTCTCTCTCTCTCTCTCTCTCGCAATGGCGAAGGCGGACGTTGGGCTCGCCGCGGTTCTCCTTCTCTCGTGCCTCCTCCTTCTGCCCTTCGCCCGCGGCTTCTACCTCCCGGGAGTCGCTCCTCGCGATTTCCACAAGGTGATTTCTGTTGGCCTTTGATCCAGTTGCTGATCTTGACAGGGTTTAAGATGTTTAGTTCACTTCGCTAGATCTGGGTTTGTACCGTGTTTTTGTTCTTGTTTTAATCGGATCTGAGCTTCTCTCCTTGGATCCCCTTGAAATTGGATTTCGGGAGTGGAACTTTATCGCTTGACGTCGTTACTGATGACCCATCTAGTCTTAAGAAATTTATCAATTTAAAATCTCGATTGTGGTTACTGTGGGATATCGATTGGGGTTTCATCTAACCAAGAGCTGTAGAGATCAGATCCGAATACCATTTCTCCATCGGAATAACTTCTTCTCTCCTTGTTGTTCCTTCTCTCGTTCCAAATGTGGCTTCAAACAGCCAATTAATTCATGCTTGTTAGTACAGAAATCACGATTGTCTCGACATATATTATTGTAGTATTTACATGTTTGGAATGTAACTTGAAAGTTCTGAAATGTAGTGCTTGTCATCTGATGATTTGGCAATAATAAAATAAGTTTTTAAAACATGGAGATATTAAATTGCACGGGTATAAGTTTATCCATTTCCATTTCGAACCACAACTAAAGGTTTCAGCTTCACGATGATAAGTTGAAGAAAGCTTATATTTGGTGCGTCCTATGTCTTTCAAAAAGTTTTGTTAGAATGTATTTTGTCTAATGCCTTGAGATCTTGATGGCTGATTGAACCGATTCAGAGAAAGGAGTTCAGATTGAGTCAATCTGTGCCTGTATTAGGTTTAAGTTGCGTTTTTAGCAGTTCTACAATACATTTGTTGCTTTTTTTCCCCTTAATGAGCTCAACGTTGTCATTGGAGTCTCTTTTGAGTTGGTTTTAGTTTATAATTATAACATAAGGTCAAGGTGCATCTGGAATCAAGTTAGGTCAATTTGAGCATCATATAGTAGTCATACATCCACATTTTATTCAGGATTAGTGGGACAACAATTTGTGCTATTGAGAACCAAATAGGAAAAGTACCCTCAGAGGTGATTGGTATCGTGGGATAACAAAATGGATGTTGTTCTTTGTATTAATGTGTCTCAAATAAGAGGCTCAGTACTTTCATTTAACAGCTGAATGGCGCAGTTTGTTGAGATCTGTTTTCTGTTTTGAGAGTCCAGTTTGGTGTAGCTAGTTTGCTCCAATTTAATTTACGAAAGGCCTTCCCAGTATGAGCTATAGACATTATTGTTGGAAATGAAGTACTTGAAAACTTATCTTCTTGATGAAGAAAAGATGGAAAGAGAGTACCACTGTACAGTGGTATATTAATCCAGATTGTTTATTTAAATATTTTAATGTCATAAGCTAACGCTGAACTGTTGGTTTTAAATACACGATGCTTTACCAATCGAGTCATAGCCTATTAGTTTTTGCAGGTATAAGAAAATTTGTTATTTGGTAAATATCTTTTCACTTTATTGTGTTCAAGATCCTATTAACTTGTACCTCTTTTCTCTGTGTCTCTTCTATTCATTTATGCTTCTGGCCTTGGTTACTTGTAGAATCGTCTAATATTTACAATGTGCTAAAATCTTATGGTTGATTGGCTACCAGGTTTGATAAAATGTTACCGTTTGTTATTCTCCTTTTTTGGCAGGATGATGAACTTCAAGTCAAAGTGAACAAACTTTCTTCCACAAAGACCCAACTTCCATATGATTACTATTTCTTGGATTACTGTAAGCCTTCCAAGATAATGAACAATGCTGAGAATTTGGGGGAGGTCCTTCGTGGTGATCGCATTGAAAATTCTGTTTATGCTGTGAGTACTCACTGTCCATTCAGCAGTTGGATGAACAACTAATGATTTATAACTCGCCATAGTTGGATTTTCACGTATTCTTAGAGCTTGATACCTGACGATGACAAGAAACTAAATAGAAAGAAACTTAATCTTGACCTGTTTAATATCTTTTTTTTTTTCATTTGGTGCCTGATTTGATCCTCAGTTTAAAATGAGAAGGGATGAAAGCTGCAAAGTAGTTTGTCGAACAAAGCTTAGCTCAGAGGCTGCCAAGAACTTTAAGGAGAAGATTGATGATGAATACCATGTGAACATGTGAGTTATCAGTTTGTGTTTATTCTACACATAAGGTGCTGCTCTGTCTTGCATTTCTTTCAGTCCTATAACTACCTTGTATGTAGCACCTTTGGCCTAGTAATTGTTATGCTGACTGCAACTGACAGGTTTTTAATTATGGGTTATAATATACATGATTTGCTTGATTGCTTCTCTGATGGCATATTGTCCTGAAACTTGTTGTTTACTTCATAGGATCCTGGATAATCTTCCAGTTGCAGTTCCCAGGCAAAGAAGAGATGGAAGTCAAGCTTTAAGCTATGAACATGGTTTCCGTGTTGGGTATAAAGTAAGTTACTTCTTTCATTTCGCAGCGGAAGTCAATAGCTTGTTTATTACATAGTTAACATTCCAGTTTCTGTCATCAGAGCAAAGATGATAAATATTACATTAGTAACCACCTCAGTTTCAAAGTAATGTATCACAAAGATCCGGAATCTGAGGATGCTCGTATTGTTGGTTTTGAGGTGATCCCAAGCAGGTACTAATATTTCATGCAGCTTCATAGCCCTTTAGTTTTCTTTTTTAGGAATGTCTAGCATATGTTGACTTAGGTAGTTGCTAGCCATAGGATACAACTTTATCGTATAGTTAATTCTACTGTGGAAAGTAGTTTTATGTATCTCAGAACTATTTGTCTTCTGTCAAGTATCAGCAAGTGATAACTGATGCAGAAGCTGTGTTGAATTGTTATGTGATATAATTAGAGATGAAAGAAACAGGAACCATCCAAATACATGTTGTTTTGATTTCCAACAATGCATGGTAAAGAGGGAAGCTGAAAGATTTATATCTAAGCTTCTGAATTTGGAGTTTACATGACTGTCATGTTTAGTTTCAGCAGTAACTTCGTTTTCTGATTGATTGTGATGGTCTTTCAGTCACTTGCATGTACTTCTTGTTGTATCTTTCTCTCTCAAATTAATCCAGCTTCATAGTTCCTCATATCCTTTGTCATTCCCAGTAATAACAGTCGATCTTTGATGAGCCTTATATTTGAAAGTTCCATTTGAAATGACAACTGTTGTTTGGGGTACTTAAGTTCCATTTGAGTCAAGAGGAAGAATCTCTTAAGTTTTTACCTCTTAAGTTACCTAGTTGAATGAATCATCCAAATGCTTGTCCATTCATATACATATGTTGCCTTCACATGCTGTATTCTATAAGCCTCTTTAAAATTAGTTATTTTTCCCCTATCCTCTCCAAGTTCATGTTAGACAATAGCACTTTAATATTGATCCAAGTAGTTGTAGTAGGTATAACAGGCAGAGGTTTTTTTTGTTTCAATGCCATTAGCAAAGTGCAGTGGAAAAATCTCATAATAAAAAAGCAGTAGCTTGATTAATCAAGTTTAGGAAAATTATGTGTTTAGAAATTGGATTGATTACTCTGTTAGATGCCATTAGCATTGTCTTTGCAGTATGCCAAGTTGATGATTTTGACCACCTACTTAGTGCATGTGTTGTTTCTTGATCAAATATAACAGAAAAATTATTAGATCTCAAATGGGGATGAAGTTTTTAGACAACCATAAAAGTTGCATTTCACATATTGAAATTGCTAATTACATATGGATGGAATAGCACAATGGATATTCATGATTGATATCCTTCACTATAGTGCCATACAAAACAATCAATGTATATTTTTGTACACGATGGTCCTTTGTCGACTGTTAGTTAGTTATTACTTCTGTAATTTTTTCCATGTGGTCTTGGATGATGAGGATATTGTAATGACAGAAGAAAAGCAATGTTGTTATCAGTAGTAATAAAAGAATAATATATTTATATTAGGCTAATTATTGTTTCAAAATAGGTTTTCTATCTTGTTGCTCTTACCAGCATCTTTATGTGTTATATGTACATTTTCTAGTCTAACTGAATCTTTGTCACAGTCTTTTATCATATCTATATCTCTTTAACTAATTTCAAGCACTTGAGAACAGTATTTTGAAAGCTTGAATATCAAAAGTTTAAATGTTTAAGAATGTTTAGCCTAGGCCATAGCGATGCTTTCAATATCCATTATCCTTTGAATAAGAAACTACCAAATTGGCTCTCTCAAGCTGATTATTGTTGCTTGCATGCTGTATTCAGACTGTAACCTATTTACACTTCTCTCACTTTTGCAAACAGCATGAAACATGAGTACGGTGACTGGGATGAGAAGAACCCTAAAGTTACTACGTGCAGTGCAGACATTAAAATAACCCCTGGTAGCAATACTCCCCAAGAAGTAGCTGCTGACACATATGTTGTCTTCTCATATGACGTTACCTTCCAGGTGTGTACTTTCTTTCTTGAACTCACATTATTTTGGTATGTGCTTCTTACATCTGAATTTGTTTACTGCAGCCCAGCGAAATCAAATGGGCATCACGATGGGACACTTACCTTCTCATGAATGATGATCAAATTCACTGGTTTTCTATCATCAACTCTTTGATGATAGTTCTGTTTCTGTCTGGCATGGTAGCCATGATTATGTTGAGGACCCTCTACAGAGATATAGCTAATTATAATCAACTTGAGACTCAGGAGGAAGCACAGGAAGAAACAGGATGGAAGTTAGTCCATGGTGATGTCTTTAGACCTCCAATCAACTCCGGGCTTCTTTGTGTTTACGTAGGAACTGGTGTTCAGTTCTTTGGGATGACCTTGGTCACGATGATATTTGCATTATTAGGTTTTCTCTCCCCCTCCAACCGTGGGGGTCTGATGAGCGCTATGGTTCTCCTGTGGGTTTTCATGGGCCTATTTGCTGGATATTCTTCAGCCCGTCTCTATAAAATGTTCAAAGGCTCTGAATGGAAGAGGATCACCTTGAAAACTGCCTTTATCTTTCCTGGTATTGTGTTTGCCATTTTCTTTGTCCTGAATGCTCTTATCTGGGAGGAGAAATCATCTGGTGCAATTCCATTTGGCACCATGTTCGCTTTGGTGTTACTATGGTTTGGCATATCTGTGCCCCTGGTTTTTGTTGGTAGCTACATTGGCTACAAAAGGCCAGCTCTTGAGGATCCAGTCAAGACCAACAAGATTCCCAGGCAGATACCTGAGCAGGCTTGGTATATGCAGCCTGCATTTTCTGTACTAATTGGTGGGATACTACCATTTGGTGCTGTTTTTATTGAACTCTTCTTCATCCTGACGTCAATATGGCTGAACCAATTCTATTACATCTTCGGTTTCCTCTTCATAGTCTTCATCATTCTCATCATAACCTGCGCTGAAATTACAATTGTGCTTTGCTACTTCCAGCTATGCAGTGAAGACTATCACTGGTGGTGGAGAGCATATCTGACTGCAGGTTCTTCTGCTCTCTACCTCTTTGCATATTCCACATTTTATTTCTTCACGAAGCTGGAGATTACCAAAGTGGTTTCAGGAATTCTTTACTTCGGTTATATGTTAATTGTATCTTATGCATTTTTCGTGTTGACTGGCACAATCGGATTCTACGCTTGTTTCTGGTTTGTCCGCAAGATATATTCTTCTGTGAAAATAGACTGATCAGGATGTGGCAAATAATAACTTTGGTCGGGGTGTGGTGAACAAGAGCTTTAATCAGTATGCATTCAGAAGTTGGAAAGTGTTGAGGTACAGTGAAGGATAAATGGGGCTTAACATGAAGAGCTTTCCTGCAACACTTTCAGGTCATATATACTCAAGAGGCAAATATTACATGGTAGGACTCGTGTCTTCTGTTCCAGTTTCTGTTGTATTTGAACTCTTTTTTTTTTTTTCTTGTATTGTCATTTTCCTCCAGTTTGTAACTTTATTTAATGGATTAAACACTGTTGAGGCAATCATCCGATGATCAAGGATATTTTTGCAATTAGTCAGGAGAACCAATTCAGATTTGTTTGTTGTTATTTGATTATTCTTGTCGTCCTGTACTTTATTGTGATATCAGCTCAGGTTTTCCTGTAGTGCATCTGTCATCATACATATTCTTGCATTTTGTGGTAAGAAATGCATCTTCACATCCGCAAGAGTTGGAGATTTATTTTCTTATCTTTTTTTAGTGTTATCCAGACTTTCGTGGAACGCAGGAATGTTCCTTGTCAACATTGTGAGTAAGAATGTTCCTAGTCATGTTAACATCAGCAATTTTATTTTGTTGACCCATCTCGATTAGGTTGATGTATGTATCATGCCCCATTTTGCTTAGTGAATCTCTTGTTTGCTTTCTTTTTCCGTTTTCTCGCGTAATCATAGTATTAAACGATTCCGTTGTGGTTTAATGGTAGTGTTAACCTATGTTAGATTTTCACATAGGCTTTTGGCTTTCTTGGATTATTCTTGGTAGTCTATGAAGCTATTTGGACATGCTTACTACGACTTGAAATCTTCCAGGGTTCTTGACAGGAGCAGAGAGATTTCGGTTGTAGGATATCTGAAGAGCTTGAAACAAGCGATGAGCCTAAGGTGCAGAAGTTTAAGATACATTTGTGTCTCTCTGCAAGGACATCTTGCATTTGGAATAAGTTCATCGTATTCTTCTGTAATGGTTTAGGCTTCTTTTGTCGCCAAGATAATTAAAACGTGAATAAAAGGAGCAAATCATTCTGATTCCAGTAGTTGTAGATGTTGTAGATATCGAGTGGTCCTTTTGTTGTAGATTCAGAGTGAGCCTCACCTCTTATCATTGTTCTTCTCATCTAATAGTCATTAGGCTTCTAACGACATCGTCATCCGTCACCACTAATTGAAATATTAAAATTTTTTTTTCTCTTTATTTTCATATTTTCATTAGTAAGATTGACGAGTAAATGGATCTAGATATTTTACTTTCATAATTATAAAGATTATAATATATATTTTTAAAGTATAAAAATTAAGATGCTAAATGTTATTTATTACAAATAAAATAAACATCTCAGCATCAATCCGCACATGAACTGCAATCTGAAAGTTACCATACTAGTCTAGTTCTGATGTCCAATAAGTTGTATATCCACATTTATTAGGCGAAAGATAAACTCTGCATTAATTGTCTTAATAGCATTTTAGCTTCTTTAGACTATCATGATAGCTCGAGTCAGTTGCACTAATTTATCTGTTAATTTCAGTCGTCATTCACCAGTAGTGATTGTGATTTTTCATTATTTGGAATTATATACTGCTTTGATTGGCCATCACAGCGTTGATCATTTCGAAGAAAAGCCTCGTCGTCATACATCATGGCATGATAATAATGGACATGTTGATGCCCAAAAAAGGGGATAATAATGAAGAAAGAGTAAGGTACAGTTCTTTGATTGGCCTACTACGTTGTTCCATCCATCCACACATTGCTGCATCTCATTTTATGGTCTCTCGTCATTTCTGGCACATCAACATCTCGACGGTACAGTCCCTTCTTATGTATTATTTTGAGAAGCTTTACCTTTCTTTTGCATCACCTCAGTCGGTGTCCCAGATTCCACACGCAACGACAACAGTTGTATCAGATAAAATAAGGCACTTGGTTCGATCGCTCCTCAAAATTCTCATTCTTAGAATACATAACACGAGTCAAATGATCGACGGAAAACATATGATCGTCAAGGGGAGATCCATCACGGGAGGTGGTTGTGCATCAGCATCTTCCCAGTCATCCCACAAACCAGAGCTTCCTTTGGTATCTTTCCTACATGCTCAACGCCTTCGGCAAAGATCACACCCATGCCCATATGCAAGTGCGGTTCTATGTGGCAATGAAATGCCCAGACTCCAGGATTGTCTGCCACGAACCTTATCGCCGTCCAACCATAAGGAAAGATCACCACCGTGTTCCTGAGCGGCGGATTCTTCAGGTTGAACCTGGCAACGTCCTTCTCATCGAACCTTCCATCCCCATATCCTACCACCCAGAAGTCATGCCCGTGCAGATGCCACGGATGTATTTCGCTGACGTTAACCGCGAGGGCATTTGCATTCTGGAGGATCACATCCACCGTGCTGTTAAACCGGATCACGTACGCATTGCTACTTTGCGTGGAGTTTGGATTTGTAGGAGGCTTCATCACATCGTAACTCGAGGGAAAATTCTCGGGTGGCGTCCCAGCATCAAATGCATTCTTCAGACGGTATCTCATGGACCCCAAATAAGGGGTGGGAGGGAGAGCCAAAGAGATGTTGTTGATCGACCACTTTGTGTACCCGTCGATTTTGTTTTGCGTGTTGAGCAGGACGATCCGCCTGTCGGCGCTCTGTGGGGGCTTCGGTGCGCCTCGGCGGGCCAGGATTCTGTAGGAGAACGATTTGCTGTGGTTATAGTCGTTCCATTCAGGAGCGATCGGAGGACTGGATTCCGGTAACTTTGATGGGGAATTTGGGCTGTAGTTCACGATGGCTAATGCAGGGCTGGTTTTGGGTTTCCTTCCCCTGACGCCGATCGAAAGCCAGTAGTTCGATGATGGATTCTGGTCGGTGGTGAGGAGCACCGAATAGCTTTCGCCTGAGTATATGTCTATGTCATCCACCATGAACGGTTCCACATGGTTCCCATCTGCCTCCACCACCACCATCTTGTGATTCTGCATACAAGAAAATTTCAGCTATGGTTTACCCCCAAGTACACTGAACACTACTACACCATGAAGTGTAGCAGTGTACCGTAAGCGATGGTTTACTTACTCCGATGGCCAGGTTGAGAGAAGACAGCGAGGTGGTGCTTGCGATCCTCAATCTGTATGTCTTGTTTGGAAGCACTCGGAGCACGACCGGCGCACAATCTTTGCTTGTCGTCTCGCATGTGTTGGATCCCTCGATCAGATGTGCGGCCAAAGAACAGTTGTATTGCCCCCTCCCATTGATCAGCAGAGTCTGCATCCAAACAGCAAGCCAAATGAGTAGGGAGCTGTACACTGTTAATATTTTCTTTTCACATAATAAGAAAACGTCTATTTTATGCGACAGCTTTTGTCCTATGCGTCACAGGCTCTCGATTTGATGTGTTGCGGTAGTCGAGAGGGTAATATCGAGTACCGAAGAGGCTGGCGGTGTTTGTGAGGTTTTGGATGGATGGGTGCGATAGGGCTATAGGTTCCTCCTGTCGAAGAAGAGGTGATGTGAGTCGCTACGTTGGAGGAGACAACCAAAACCAGGACAGGTGGGGCCCCACAACCTTTTCTGGTTAATAAGCGAATCACGGTAGCGCACTGCTTGCTGTTTGTGGGGCCCCACAATCTTTTGATCTTGCTTTTGGTCGTCTCTATTCCTAAGACCTGAATCACGGGTGGAGGATTTCTTTTGTCGGTAGCGAAGGCATTATTTACCTGCGGTTCGCCGATCCATCGGAAGGGTTTGGAAGAGAGTCCCACCGTCTGATCATATATGCTCTGGTGGTACCAATCGCTCAGCAGCAGATTGAACTCGCCGTCATAGCGGAACGGCTCCGCTTCCCCATCGGCCGCATCCACTATCAGAGACCCATACAGCCCCGCCGCCCTCTGCATCCCATAGTGCCCGTGATAGAAGTACGTCCCGGCCTACATGTCATCGTCACAGTTAACTCTCGATAGATACTTCAAGATTTGATCTATGGATGAAGGCAAAACGAGATGGATCTTCGAGCTTCGAGTTACCTTTTCAACTCTAAATCGGTAAACGAAAGTTTCTTCGGGATCGATGGCGCACTGTGAGATGGAAGCGGTTCCATCGGCCCACGGCGTTCCGAACTGCCGAACACGCAAAGATAAGACAGATAGAAACCAAGCATGCACATCGGCACCAACCGGATTTCTGGTTTTAGTTCTCGCGCAGAAGCCTTTGAATACCTGTCTGATGCCGTGCCAGTGGATGACGACTCCCTCGGTGTGAAGCGTGTTCTTGAGCTCCACATGGATCGTATCGCCGGCCTTGGCGCGGATGGTGGGGCCGGGGAACTGGCCGTTGATCCCTATCAGAATTTTCTCGTTGCAGTCCGGCGATGCGTAGATATACCCCACCTCCCATTTGAAATGCCTGGTCTTGGAAGCCGAGGCAGCCTGCAGCAGGACCGAGATGATGCCGGCGGAGATGAGCAAGAGCGAGAGCGAGCTCGTTGCCATATATGGCGGAGCCGGTGAGCAGTAGCCGAGGGAGAGTCGGAAAGCTGGGGTGAAGGCCGATGGGAATGCTGCGCCCGAGAGCTATCAATAGTAAGCTTCGAGTTGGTGAACAAAGCAAGTTTTCTTTTCCTTGGAGTTGGTAGGAGGAGAGTATGCATGCTTCCCTTTTTTTATAGGGGGAATGGAAGAAATAATAAAAAAAAGGAAAACTGCGATATATGAAGAATTAAAAACTTTATTAGGAAAGAAATAATTTTCTTTTATTAAGATAGATAATATATATTTATACAGGTTTGAAGAGAGAGATTTTTCTCTATTATGATTTTCTATTAGAATATAAATACAAAATTATCATTACATATTCGTCTCTATTATGATTTTCTATTAACATCAACTTAAAAATATATTACTTTATTTATTTTTATTTTTGTTTCTATATATCAATGATGAAACCCAAACCTATTAAACTAGATTTTTGTTTCCTTCTAATTGAATAGAAGAAGTGTGTTCCTTAGTTCGAGGCGGTAATGTGGAGGAAATTGGTGTCCTTGTCAGAGTGGAGGCAGGTGAGCAATTTACGCACGCAAAGCGGAGAGTATCATCGAGTGAAACGAGGAACCCTTCACGCCTCAGCCAATAGAGAGCAGAAATGGAAGAAAGAAGGAAGAAGAAAACAGCAACATGGGACGTGCAGCTGCCACCGATGGTAGGCTCTCCGGCGCCTTAACGTCGATGCCCGATGACCGACTGGAGTATTTAGTTTTGGTACGCTAACGTCTCCATGACAATCATGAAATCCATGTGTGGCCACACTGTCCGTATCGTCCTCGTCCGACATGCCTCGCACTTGGACCGGAATCCGAGAACGACCTGCACCTGCTCCTTGTCATCTGAATGGCGTAGATCATCTCTTCTTCCTCTGAGGTGAATTCCATTTTCCATCCTCAGAAAGAGTCTCTTCTTCCTATGAGGTGGTTTGGACGTTCTGATCGCGTATGTATATCCACAAGAAACATCCAAAGAAGAAGAGAAGAACAAGAAGAAACAGCTACTATACCTTCACTATTATTTGTATGTACCATCTTTGGTTTCTAAAGAATCCTATGGAGACATTATCTTTTTCTCAATTTCAAGCTGTATGACATGTAGACAAAAGCCTAAACCTCATATGATAATGCAAAAAAGTTGAGTGATTTCCGTACTCACTCAATCTTCTAAATTCAATTTTAAAAGACATATAAATATATATAGGTTGATTGACTATTCATTTGACTATTAGTTCATTTATTTTAGTATTAATATTCTTAATACTATCATATGATATTTATTGTGAGGAGTGGAATATGATGAGCTGTGTTAACATTCAGATCTTCGACAACTAGTCAGCACTTTCAGCCACTCGCATCACTTTGAAAAAGATGAAAAGAGTCTGCTGAAATAGAATCTTCACTATAGAAAAGTGAAAAGAGACACCATAGTCAAAAGGACCAGCCCACACAAATTCACACTGCCATTGTCATCCCCATGCATGTGTCTACTCCAGTTCGAACCAGCCTTTTAAATCTTCTTCTTTCTGTGACAGCAGACATAAAGAGCTGTCCATGGAGCTCCTCAGGAAGAGTTTTCTAGTTGGCTTGTGATTTTTGTGGGGTATACATCTCTTTAGATCCATCGTCACATTCACACACCAACTTCTCTTTGGGTTTATAGCAAAAGACAACCGATCCACACTACTTTGCTTGTTTACCAATAAAAAGATATGCGCAGAGGACGTCTTCTGGATCATACAGGCAGTGTTCATAGATTCTGTCACTGAGCCCATACAGACACATCAATAACATATTTAGGGAATCATGTGACTCATGCCTTATCTTTGCAGCATCGAATGCCCTGCCATTATTTCTTTTTTTCTTCTTGATGATGCAGCCGAGGTCTAAAGTGATGCCGACGCTTCACAACAAAACACCCATCCCATGGCTGCAACTGCAGAAGGAAAAAAGAGACAACCGGTAAAGTGAAGGATCGCAAAACCATCTACTCTTTCTGCGTGTGGTCCTCCTTACCACCGAGATAAAGGGCATTGGTAACGAGCCATGATCACCGGAGATGTCCGAGTGTCCTTTTGTGGTGGTGCAGACAAAGTCATATAAGTGCTGCCATTTACAAAATATCGCTGTAACGTCAGGACAAGTTGTGCCGAAAAGAGTAGGCAGATCTGGAACTTGGTCCAGTTCTTGTAGTGCTGTTCTGGTCAGGTGTTGAAATATCTTCTTTTTAGAGGAGCTAATGGCAGCATCTCTTCTTCTTTTTTAGGTTGACGGTGAACATATATGGCTAAGAAATTACTGCCATAGGAGTTGTTCATTGTCTGCCAGGATACAGCTCTTACATGACATCAAAGGATGTAGCTTGTTCCAAGTAAATGAGGAATATAAGCTCAGCAATGGCTAGCTCAACTTTGTTCAACAAAACTTAGCTTCCACCGAAGATTTCTTGTAAACTAATCTATCGTTCCTCTTCTTGTTCTACAGAAAGAGGACTTCAATTTGGATATCACATTGACTGGCTGTTCCTATCAAGTGCATGCAGAATAGTTTTTTGTATGTTCTCTGCATATAATGAAAATAAAAAGTGTGACAGGTGCAGTCTCATCACATATTCTCTTCTTTGCCTCCCTGTCCTCATTAGGAGAACACAACAAATGCTACAGTTTTATACTGCTCATTTGTACCTGCAGCGATTAGTTTTATCAAGCAATATTACCATTTCTCAGAGCTTATCTAATCCTGCAGTTTCCAAGATGGATTTCTTTTTCCCCAGTCAGATGCCGTTGTCTGGGAATTCACACACGGATTCGATCTTTCACGGAGATGGATGCCATTGATCAGAGGTATGATGGACTTGTTTTTAGTTCTACCTTCACCCAACTCTGTATAATATTATCTGTATTTAGTACATTTGGGGGCATAAAATACTTATTTTATATTAGTCATTAAGACACTTATCTAACAGAAATAAGATTAATCCCTCTTGTTGTTTCCACATCCTTGCTTTGCTTACAGTATAGATTTGCTACCACATCGCAAAGACCATAATCTATTAGGTGTGGCTGCTGTTATGATGCTACACCCACATCAGAATAATTTGATCTTTATATTTGGGCTTTAGAAATAGAAGCCCAGTAAGTATTTGTCACTCTGACATGAGCAAATATTATTTTGTCATTAGATGCATTGCACTACATTGAAAGTTCTATTTTATTGGGATAATTTATATTTTCCTTTTTAATATTGACTAGTAAAATTGAATGTTACTGAGCATGACTTCAACTATTATTTGTGATACATATTCCTTGTTGCCTTTATGTCCTTTGAGGTTAACAAGAATTTTGTTTCCCTCTTTCCACTATCCTTCAATCCAAAGCAAACTTTGATGCTTCACAAAGAAGGTCAAAGAAAGAAAAAAAAAGCAAGCATCAAATTCCTAAAGTTTGTAGGACTAAGTGGGATCAAATTGACACCCACTTTTATTTGTTCTTTTTATTTTATTTTATTTGCTTGCACAAACACTAATACATGGTAATAGATAAGATCATGGTTCTCTTCCTTCTGTCATATTTATTCTTTTTCTTTTAGAAATAGTTTTTGGGGTGTATTGGATGCATGATTACACATTAAAAAGTACATATTTAAGTATGTAACCCCTTCATAAAATGTCATTTTTCTTGCACATATATCCTCTTTTGGAATATTATTATTATTATTATTTTTATACATGCATCTCCTAGCTTCATGGTATATATATACCACACTAGAATAATTTAGAAAAAAAACATAAACATAAAAATAATTATATCAGGTGTCGTTTCTACTTCAAAAGCATGTGGAGATGAACTAATTGACATGGAGTAAATTTTCCAGAAAAAAAGAACTAAAAAAGATAAAAGAAAACAAAATTCCAAGTTCTTAAAAAAATGCAAAGGGAAAATACAGTCCAAAAGCATGATTCATGGCAAGCTGTTTCTCCAACCTCTGACCTTGCTGTCTTCTATGAAAAGCTTTACAGTACTTTAGATTGAAGAGAGAGAGAGAGAGAGAGAGAGAGAGAGAGAGAAGAAGAAGAAGAAGAAGCAAAAATAATTTTTTGTTGTGTCGGCAGTTGTTCCCATTAAGCCTCTTTCTATTTGTTCAGTCCACAACTGGAAACACGTGCTCCAGTTTTGGAGTCAGCTTTACTTGGCCTCTCTCTGGATAGGTGGCTACCACCTCATCATAGCTCATTTCACCAGTGGACACTTTGACCGAGTCAAATCGTTGCCATCGGCATAAAGACCGAGTTGCTTCAAAAAAACCTGTGGATCGAGTTGCGATTCAACTCATCGAGCTTTGATCTCTCGAATCAACGAATTGCTGAATGGTTATGATGCTGATAACCATTAAGTACTTTGAGACAGAATGACTACCTCACTCGATTAGAAAACGTTTAGTATGTGGTTGTTTTACGTGCTAAATCATCATTATCTTCTTCTTTGTTTCTTTCTTTATAGAATATGACTTCGCGAACAACCAAAATTTCTTCTTCAAGTCATTACAATAAACATGAGTTAGATGCACTTGACCTACGCACACACGGACTTGATCACCACCGAAAGAAAGGAATACTTGATTCAAGTAAATTAGAAGACATGGGAACAGTCACCCTCGAGAAGGAGACATTAAGCTTTAATAACTCATCATAGTTGTCTCCCAACGTTGATTCCGTGGCCAATCATGAGCAAATATTATTTGACAAATAGGTGAGGGTGACAACTACGTCATGATGGCTCCAATGGTTGGTGGATGCGAAGGTAAGGTGCACCTGTCAACATGCGTCACTCCCCCCACTCTATCATCCATTCATCATCACCGTCCATACCATTACCATCATAATTCTCTTTATGATTCACATCCGGTCATCGTCTAAATAATTGCCAAGCACGAGTGGTCAAAGCATTCCTCATACTTGCCATTTATTTTCTAGTCTCCCAACTCCTCACCAAGCCACCTAACGATAACGTGGATGTCTCGACGAAATCTATTTTTGATATACGCTGTGCGCGAATCTTGAGGCACAGCTTAGTTGACTTCTGGCCGTCTGGTTTTAATCGGGCGACCATAATTATACCGACCATTTTCTCGTTCGCTAAATTGGGCACGATTTATAAAGCATAGAGTAGCCAATTTTCGACCGCCTGATCGTGATCGGACGAGCATTATTGAAGTTTGACGGTAAATTTCTTGAGACGCCAAAATGGGTGGGCCGCGCTCGTGCTCGAGCCCTGGCTTTTCCTTCTTCTTCTTCTTGTGCACGTTCTTCTTCTATAGAACTCGCTGTTGCTTGAGAAGAACCCGAACCCTGAGTCGGGAATCCGTGGAGGGGGAGAAAGTAGGGGAGAGGAGCAGCGAAGAAGACGACGACGGCGGCAATGGCGGATCGAGTATACCCTTCTGCGAAGCCTAACCCCCAACCGTCCCAGGCCCTCAACGGCGGCGGCGGCGCAGGAGGGGCCCCCTCCTTCCCGCCGACAAAGGGCCAGACGTACAGCGCGACGCTCCCGGCTTACCGTCCCCAGCCGCGGAAGCCGCCGCCGCCCCGCCGTCGTAGCCGTCGGGGCTGTTGCTGCTCCTGCTGCCTCTGGCTCACCCTCATCATCGTCGCCCTCGTCTTCCTCGCCGCCATCGCCGCCGGCGTCTTCTACGTCATCTACCGACCCCGCCGCCCCACCTTCGAGGTCGACGGCCTCCGCCTCTCCGCCTTCAACGTCTCGGGCGCCGGCCAGCTCACCTCCCGCCTCGACCTCAACGTCACCGCACGCAACCCCAACGCCAAGATT